TTCCTGGAACAGACAGGAAAAAGCTAAGATTGAGTCGGGCCAGCCTATCAGAAGCTGCAGCCTAAGATTTTTAATTTCAAGTGAGCAGCACAATTCACAGGCAGTTCAGAAGTCACTCTTTCAGTGGCAGTGATGGAGATGGCACTTATTGTCCAGTGGCAGAAGAGGCAGTGGTGGGACAAGGTGGTCGGGCGTCCAGAACGTCTGCTGGACAGTGCTGCTTCCTAACCAGATCCTTCCTGGGGTCTGAATTTGGTTTGGATCCGCAAGTGCAGCCAGACCCAGCTCCTTGTTTCCGGCCTGTGGGAATAGGAGCTACAGGACCACAGCCTCTGCATCTTCCCCTTCCTTCTTCCTGACAGAACCTTCTCTTTCTTTTCAGTTTTCCTTAGAGACCTGCCCTAACCCTAGTTCCAGAGCATGATATTCCCCTGGAGGGTTATAAACAAGATAGACCAATCAGACTAAGGAGGGTTTCTATTCCATAGTTGGAAAAAAGCTTTTTTCTCTTGCCTGTTACACGTGGACAAGAAGGCATGCCACACTGACTGCCCCTGCAGCCACCTTGTGATCAGGAGGCCGCCCTTCAAAGGTTAAAGCGAGCACTGTGAGTTGAAGAGTAGAGAGATGGAAAGATCCAGGATACTAGACATTGGGTACACCTGCTCAGTCAACCAACCTGAAACCCCCTACCTGGGTGCTTCCTTTATGTGAGAGATTTCCTTTTTTACTTATGTCTGTTCAAGCTGAGTGTTCTGTTTCTTACAGCAGAGAGTACCCTGAATCGCATGCTTGTTTCTGCCTCCCCTCCATGCCCTTCCGGCTCCACCTCTCCACCTGTTTTTCCAGGGTCAGTATTTCTCTCTCTCTCTTTTTTTTCCTTCCCATGAGATACTACATTAGTCCAAGGTGAGCATTTCTCAAACAACTTTTGACCTTACGAATCGTTTCTATTCTCAATACATATTGAAGACCCCAAAGAACTTTTGTTTTTATGGGCTATACATAATGATATTTACTGCATTCGAAATTAAAATGGACAAGTCTTGAAAATATTTTTAAATTTATTTAAAAACAAAGACAATGAATACTTTAACATGTTAACAACAATAACATATTTTTGTGAAAAACAACTAATTTTCCAGAACAAAAAAAATTAGATAGCAACAGGGCTTTCTTAACATTTTTTGGTAAATCTCTTTAATGTTTGGCTTAATGGAAAATAGCTGGATTCCTGGATTCTCTATCTGCTTTTGCATTTTAATCTGATGCAATTAGTTGTTTTGGTTAAAGAATATGCAGAAAATTTAGCTTCATCCAGATAACAGAAAAAGGAGGAAAATTTTAATAGCTTTTCCAGATAATTGTGGACATTCATTTTTGATGCTATACCAAAACTTTCAATAGTATTTTCTTAAAGATTAGTTACAAGGTGAAATATGAAACCGTAGCAATTAATGTTTTATACTTTGCTTCATCAAAATCTATTGGTCTGTTTTGTACTTAGGTAGATCTTTTACTCACAAATGACTTCATAACATTGTACATCGGCCATGTGGCAAAATTTTTGCAGGCCTTCCACATTTTGACATATTTCATCGTATAATATAAAAATTCCATATACTTGTTAATACTACCACCACGCTCATCAGAAAAGTTTTGAGGTAGGGGACGCTGTTAAACTCACGGCAAAAAAGATCTTAATTGACAAGTTTTCTTAAAAATGCTGATTTTTGCTTGAAGGTTTGAATTTTATCATTGACTACAATACTGTCAGTTAGTATCCTTGAACTGACAGGCTCATTTGTTCATTTTTCAGAAAATGCTTGCCAAAGACTAAGTCTGAAGTTTGTCAGTCATGCTTTTGATTACAAATGGCTTTCTATGAAAAAAGTGGCTAGTTCTGTGTGCAACTCTAAGAATTGCACATGTGGTTCGGTGTGCAGAGTGATTTATTTATACTTCCCGTTTCATCACGTATAATATTAAAAGAATCAAGATTTAATAATTTCATGGTGAGGGCTGGGTGAGGTGGCTCATGCCTGTAATCCTGGACTCTGGGAGGCTGAGGTGGGTGGATTGCTTGAGTTCTGGAGTTCAAAACCAGCCTGAGCAAGGGCAAGACCCTGTCTCTACTAAAAATAGAAATAGAGTATTGTGGTGGGAGCCTTTAGTCCTCCCTACTCAGGAGGCAGCGGCAAGGGGATCACCTGAGCCCAAGAGTTTTGAGGTTGCTGTGTGCTGCGACACCGTGGCACTCTACCCAGGGTACAGCATGAAACTCTGTCTCAAAAAAAGAAAATTAATTTCATGGTTAACCTCAAGGGCATTCCAAAGTGAAACTGACTTTTTTCCCCTATAGTGCATTGTTGTGAAAACACAAATACTCTGAGTATATCTCACCCTGATTCCTGCTAAGGCACTATTAATTTGTACTGTTGCTTTTGTACTATGCTTTTATCACTATTGCTTTTATACTATGAGTGCAAACATCAGCATAGTGAAAAAGGTAAATAGCATTTACCTTAGGGTCATTATGGGATTAGTTTTCTTTTTGAAGATTCCCTTAAGGGGCTCAGGGATCCCAGGGGCCCACAGAGGGTATTGTCAGAATTGCTTTGGCTTACCATTGATTCTGGAAGCAACCCAACATGCTCTCAATAAACTCCCCTTTCCTGAAATCAGCCACAGTTGGTTTTGTTGCCTGTCACCAGTGTTCTATGTGAAACATGCCATTGTTTATGGTTAGTTGAATGAAAATGTTTAAGGAACTCTAGTTGAGGGCCATGTATGAGTAAGCAAATAACCAGAAAGAATTAAATATTATAAAGTTTCACTTTACTATAAAATTTTTCATTTGCGCTTTCTACATTCTTGATGTTAAGTCAATGTTAAAAATCAAACAAATCCACACCAGCCCATGAACTGTGGCAAGAGGACTAAAAGGGCACTAATATTTTTTCCCTTATCGTGAATGTTCCTGGTGACCTTACTGAGCTTGGTATTATTGTCCCTATTTTAAATATTGAAAAACTGATATTCAGTGGTTAAGTTCTTGGCCAAGGCCACTTAGTGGTCAAATTTTTCATCTTGGCCAAGAGGCTCCAAAACCCAGGATCTCCTTGCTCTATCGGAATTCCCCTGCAAGTAATCATACAGAAATAAGAGGTTTTGACTTCCAAGGTTTATGTCTTAGAGAACGGTGGTCCAAAATTGTGGACATCAGAGGTGGTTCTTTAAAAAATTTCTCTGATATATTCTATCATAATGATAATGCTGACTGTCTCCTAAGGCAACATTTTTAACATACCATGAGATGATATTTCAGAGTTTTAAGAGAACTAAATCATGTGACCTATCCATACCTCTCCTCACTGGGGCATGCTTGCATATTCAAAATGCATTTCAAATAGTACCTCCTGGGTGATGACTTCTGATAATCTGATTGTTGTTCATTCCCCCTCCCAATCAAAATGTATCACATTGTGTGTAAGAGGCAGCTTCTAAGTTGCCCCCAAAGATATCTGCTTCCTGATGCTCACACCATGGTGTTACTTCCTCTCCTTGTGTGTGGACTAGGTTTGTGACTTGCTTCTGACCAATAGAATATGGCAAAGGCATGAGAATGCCACTTCTGTGATCAGGTTTCATAAGATAGTGACTTCTACCTTGCTAACAGAATCTACCACCGTCTTGGCTTGCATACTTTGATGAATCAAATCCCTAAGTTGGAAAGGGCCACTTTCCCTGAGTGGCAAGGAACTGAGGGAACCCTCTGGCCAATTGCCACTGGAGACCTGAGGCTCCAGACTAACAGCCAGTATGGAAGCAGATCCTTCCCCCAGAAGAGCTTGGTTGCACCTTTGTGAGAGATCCCCAAAGCAGAGGACCCAGCTGAACTGGACTTAGCTTCCTGACCCATAGACTGTGAAATAACAAATGTGTGTTGTTTTAAGCTGCTACATTTTGGGGTAATTTGTTTTGCAAAAATAGACAACTAATACACTGTACTATATTTATCTTTTCCTCTAGCAGGACCAGAAGTGAGCTGGTTAAAATCACTGGGCCCTTGTTATGTGCCTTTATCTGTTTATCTACCAGTGGGAGAGCTTCCTGCCAGGATCCATCCTCAGGGTAAAAGAGGAACCCAGAGGCCCCAGGGGAAGCTCTAGTGCTCCATTAATTCCCACCTCCTGGCCTTCAACTAGAGCCTCCATAATTTTCTTTTTCCACTTAAGGATCATTTAACTTACAAACCAGGGGCAGTAAGCCAATTACTCCCTAGGGTCTGAAACTTCAGTCTGGCAGGGAGACACAACAGCAGCCCTTCCACAGCACAGGTATGACTGCAGAAATTCACGTCCCAATGCAGTTCATAAGCAGAGACCCAAAATGGGAAATGTGAAGCCATACGATAAGAAGCTCCTTTTGAGAGAAGGAAATTGGGGGAGATATTGAAATACCTCACAATGCATAGATGTGAGGCAAGCACTTCAATCTGGGGCTTCAGTTTTCCCATCTGTAAAGTGGGAATCTACCTCCAGATCCCATAGTCTTTGATTCTTAGTTGGACACAGTCTGGGTTGCTGTGAGCTAGCTCTCTGGGTGCTAAATCAACTATGCAATGATAACACCTGTCTACAAAGGGGATCGTAGAATTGAATGAAGCAGATGTGTGAATTATGCAGCACAGCGCCTGCCCAAGAGTGATCCTGGCAATTACTACTTGTACACCAGGTCCCACGTCCCAGAGAACCGAGGCCACCGCGGGCGGAGCGCAGCCCCGACCCGGGCCCGGTGGCCTGCCCCGCCCACGTGGGGCCGGGGCCCGTCGAATGACTCGGTGCAACGTGTTGGTGGCGGTGGCGCGGGCTCTTCCGGGCGCCGCAGCTTCCTGCCAAGCACCGCGCAGCCGCCTCTGCCGCACAGCCCCGGGTGCAGGCCTCCGCGCTGGTGCGGAACTCGGGGCTCAGCCGCGCGCGCCCTGCCCGCCCCGCGCCATGAGTGCCGCGCCGCCGCCCGCGCCGCTCCTGCCGCTGCTGCTGCTGCTCGCGCTCCTGGCCGCGCCCGCCGCCCGCGCCCCCACGGCCCAGTCCGCGCCGGCGCCACAGCCCAAACCCGAGCGCGAGTCGCGGCCGCCACCGGGCCCGGGGCCCGGGAACTCCACCCGGACTGAGTCTGGGGCGGCAGGCGGCGGGAGAGGCAGCTCCAACACCAGCGGCGACGCCTTGGTGACACGCATCTCCACCCTGCTCCACGACCTACCTACCCTGAAGGCGGCCGTGATCGTGGCGTGCGCCTTCAGCGCCCTCCTGATCGGCTGCCTGCTGCTGCGCGTCTTCAGGTGTGTCCCCCCTCCCGGCCTCTGCCTTCCCGTGCGGGCCGAGCGCACGGCTTCGCCAACCTGCTGTCACCGCGCGCCCAGCCCACCTGCGCGCACAGATGCTCTGGGTGCGGGGCTCTGCTGCAGCCTCGGCGCCTCAGTGCGCTCCAGCCAGCCCTGCCCGGGAGGGTGGCAGGGGCCCGCGGTGCGCTGTCTGGTTTTTCTTGGTGTACTTCTTAGGAATTCTCTCCCCTTTCTTTAACGATATGTATCATAAATATTTGATTTCATTTGTTAACTCTCTGCTAATGCTTAACACTAACAATAGCTTTGTGAATTCTGGCGGTCTCCCACAGAATTTATTTTTATAATCATTTCACAATGAGGAAAACATTTGAGAGAGGCAGGGTGGCCCCTTGTCTAAGTAAACTAAGTGGTGGAGGTACGATTTGAACCCACCTCCATCTGACTGTCATCTTGTTACCTCTTTCCTGCTCCCTCACACTCACCTACTACTTCTTTTTTTATGCTATTGAAAGAAGTTTCTAGGTGGAGGACGAGGGTGTACTTCTCACAGGACAACCGGTGGAGGCATGCATTGCACCATATGTTAGCTATGGGCTCTGCGAAGCTCGGTGACTCTTGGTGGCCTCTGTGACTTTTATCAGTGGGGGAATGAAGACGGCTCTCCTGGGCTTCCGCCTAAGCTGCCCCAGTAAAAGTTCACAGGGACATGAGGGATCTTGGAGAGACTTTTGTAGGTTGCTCAAGTTCAGGGAGAAAGTGTGTGGGAAATTAGGAAGGATGCCCCATGTTGCTGGAGTGGTGAGGTGGACGGAGCTACAGGGTATGCGAGGACGTGTTCCCCAGTGCCTGGGAAATCCTGTTTTTGCAGGAAATGAACCAAACCTGTCCTATTACTCAGCCCCACCAGCCTGCAGATCCGGGTGTGCGCTGGCTGCTCACTGCCCATTTCCCCTGCTTGTAAGTGCACACATTGTGCTTTGGTGTTTGCTCCTGAAGGTTGGGGCCAGGGTAGCATTTTTGGTGCAGAATCAGAAACTAGACCTGGGGAAAGCAGGGTTGGGAGCAGTCTGTGGAGGTTTGTTTTGTGTGACTTTGGGTTCAGGTGTTTCCTTCGGGGTCTGCAGTATTAGATGCTGGTGATCTGTGAAAACTGGGGAGGGGAAACTGTGGTCCCACCATCACCTCATTATTCCAACCTGCCTGGGCTCAGAAAACATCATTTCCCACTCTGCTGATTTTCTTGATATTCTCTGGGTTGAAGTGTCCCCCTCTTCACCCCACCCTTCACACTACCCTCAATCCTCTGCTTACAAACTCCAGTGGCTGCTTGTGGCCACTACCAAGGCATGGCACCACCTAGATGTAGCATTGGGGGGGGTCTTTGCAAACTGGCCACAACCCACCTTGCAGCCACCTAGCAGCCCTCTGAGTCTTGGGTCTTGTTTGCACCCTTTCCCTTGGGGTCCATGGTGCCGGCTTGTGCTTTCCTGCATCCACTCCGGTGCTTGTTCCACATCTTCCCACACCGCTGCAGCCACCAAGGCCCAGCTCCCATCCTCCTGCCTCATTTGAATGAGGCCGTCACTTTGCTTTCTGGCCTCCCCCCACCCCCTAGCCCTCTCCTAGTACAACCTTACTGGCCAGGCTGGGTTGCCATGTTCAGTCTCCAGCTCTCCCATTCAGCAGAGTGGAGGGCAGGGATGCCCAGAACATTCTTGTGTTTCTGTACCCGCTGTGGGCCTGGCATCCCACAGAAGTGCCGTTGTTATTTACTGACTTCCGGATTGTTCAGTCGGAATGAACTTTAATTCCTAGAGCAGCTCTATGCCTGGAGGTTTAAGACACTTAGCTCAAAATAGGCCATGGAGCCCACAAGGCCGTGTACTTTGTAAGAAGGTATTTGAACTATTTTGCCAGTCTGCTCTTTATTACCCAAGAGTGGAGGAGAAGAGAAAGCAGCATGTGGCCAGATGTGAGGGATCTGAGCCTTGTGTTTGAGTGGGTGAGCTGGTGCTGTGGCCTGGAAGGATGGGTCCTTGGTGCCTTGGGTGTGGAGTGTTGAAAGACTGTGATGACTTCATAGGAGACGCCGTTATGGACACAACCTGCCCCCTCTTCTCAGGAAGGCGGTCTCATTAGGGTGTCTCTCCAGGTGGACAGCTGCCACCCCACGATCTGACAGAGATAGTTGCATCCCAGAAGTGGATTAAGTCATTACTGTGATAGATTCTAGAACACTCTACAAGTCTGTGTGGCCAAGGCAGGGCCAGCACCCTATCTTGGCTGTTCTGTGGTTAGGACCGCAGGCCTTCCTCCTTTCCATGTTTCCTTGGTTCATCAGGATCGCCAAACGCCTGCCATGCTGGCTGGGTATCCCTGCCCCCTCTATCTCCTTAGCACGCAGGCACAAGTTCTGGCCATTCCATCACTTGGGTTTCCTGGAGATTGTCTCATCTCTGTCCATGCTACCTCCCTCCAGTGTAGATTCCCCACCTACCACTGTTTCTGTCTGCGTTACCTTGTCGCTCCTGAATTGCAACGGCATCTTTTAGGTTAGGTTTCTACTCTCAGTCTCAACCCTGTCCAACCCGTCCTCCCTCTTCTGCTGGGAATGCTGGTCTCACCCTCCTCCTCCCCTCTTTGCCAGTCCCCCTGTGTACAAGCTCCTTAGCATCTGGGCAAGCCTGGCTTTTCACGGCCAGAGCCCTGTTTCCCTTCCGAGTTCCCATCTTGCCCAGTGCCCCTCTGCCTGCAACTCCAGCTCTGCTGGACTTTCCAGGGGTCCTCCAGAAGTACTGTGTGGCCTGAGTATCTTGTCCCCATCTGATCCTCTGCTCAGAGTCCCCTTGCCACCAAGACCACATGGCTACCTCATTGCTGCTTGAACTCTTGGTGCTACCTTCTCTGAGCCGCCTCTGCAGCCAGGCCCCTCATCCTAGAGCACACTCGATTTTTGAATTTCCTCTTCAGAGTCAAGTGTAGCTGAACTTCTCCTTCTGCCTTAGGCTGAGGGCTCCCAAGAGCAGGGCTGGGCATTAATCTTCTAAGTCTCTCTAGCATCTAGTGTGGTTCCAGGCACAAGTTGGCATTTTAATAAAGATATTTTTAGCAAAAGAATGTTGAACTCCCAAATATTTTACATGGCTGATGTCTCTTAAAGTGTACACTGGGACGAGAAGCATGGCTGCTGCTGGATACCTGTGAGGTAGGAATTTGGGTAGTGGCCCTTCATTTTCTTAGCAAAGTAGATAAAAAAGAAAGAGTGAGGAGTTCTGAGTATTATTGCTCATAAAGCAGCAGTCCTAGCCTATTTGTCTGTTTTCCCTGAAGGAGTCATCTTGCCAGAGAACAGTAAAAATACGGACCCAAGGAAACTGTTATAATTAGAAGCAAATAATATAGTGAAAAGTATGCACACCTTTAATGAAGCAGTTCCATTCCTAAGGAGTACGCATTTTTCACTGCGATATATATTCTTTGCTTCTCATGTTAGTGATCAGGAGAAGAAGCCACGAGGTGTGTACGGTGATATTCAGAGATATTCTGTTTGATAGTAAAAAGTCTTAAATAAGCTAAGTATCCCACAACTGAGCATTGGTTAAATAAATTATGGTACATTCTTACAGTGAAATACCTTGCAGCTATTACAAATGGTGACGTTGATATAATACTTGCTGCCTGTTGTTGAGTGAAACAGGTTACAAAACAGCAGGTAGAGTGTTAGCTCATGTAAGTTGTAAGAATGTATAAATGTGCAAGTAAACATATGTGTACGTGTGCCTGCGTGAGAATGTGGGTGATTATAATGTATTTATTACTCACAGTATGTTTCCTCATTGTCTGAATTCTTTCACAATCTAGCGGCCTGTGTGGACACTGAGCACCTTGCTGCATCTTTGGATGTGTTTTCCGGAGGCCCGCATGAGAGTATCTGGGGTACACACCTAGGTGTGGGATTTCTGGGTCGCAGGAGTGCTTATACTTGATTTCTGTGTGTAGGTACCAGTGTCGTCATCCCTCTGTATGACCTGAGGGGTCTCAGATCCTCACGTCGTAGCCGACTCTTAGTATTATCTGACTTTCGAATGCTTTTCAGTCAGTTGAAAAGGTGTGTTATTTGATATCTCATTTCTTTGTTTTGCATTTGTTCATTTTCTTCTGAGGTTGAGCAGCTGTCCCTTTTTGAACTTCTTAATCAATTTGATTTCCCCATCTGCAGAATCATTCCTACTTCTTTCACATATTTTATCATTAAGGAAAATCATTTCAGACGGGAGACAAAATTGGAAGGAGGGAAAGGTGGGTTGGAGACAGGACGGTACCCTGATGTAATGTGTATGAGCCATCATGCTGGTGCACCCGATGTGGACCCCCTGTGTCCGCCGCTTGGCAGGTTTGCCAGTGCTGGAAGGGAATCGACATACAGGCTGTGTCCCGGAAGTAGGAAACTATGACTTCTGATTTTTGGATATTGGGCTGTTGATAGGGTTGCATGGAGTCAAGGAAAGCACGCATGAGCCAGTGACTGCTGGTATCACACTTTCACTTACAATCTTTCGCTCTTTTAGTTCTTGGAGGGAATCTGACTTTCTAATGTCTTATGAATAGGGTGGGGGAAAGTCAGGAACTCTAACACTCCAAACCATGCTGTTCCTTCCTTCCTGGGGCTCCTTCCCAGTCTTGGCAAATCTCCCAGCTCTACGACACCGACTCCACTTCTCCCAGGTTTCTGTTGGCTGCATGCCCAGCCACTTCTTATTTCAAAATCTCTGTAAAATCCTCTTACCTAAAAGAAGGGTCTGTTTTGGTGCTTCCCAAGAGATTGGGAAGATGATTTCTGGGTGACCCGACATTGCCCAGCTGTCAGTGAAAAAGGTACACACCCTGAGGATGGGTGGAACCACAAAATCATAGTCGATTTTCCTGAGCCAGGTCTTTGAAAAGGAACTAAGATTCCTACTTATCTTGGGTTTCCCAAATCTTCTATAGTGTGT